CCCCCCCCCCCGGCTACATGCCTGATTACAGCAGATCCTCCATAAAAGTGGTGAAAAAACAAATACAAAAATAGAATTTTTAAACTGGAGAGAACACCTCTATAAGGAATTGTTAGGTCTTCCAAGGTAACTCTGTGGTCAACATTTGTCAGATGTTGACCACAGAATTGTGCTGGGGAACCTACAGATTCTTAAAAAGGACAGACTAATCAAATCCACAAACAATCAAGGAAAAATGTTAAACCCAAAAATGTAAAGAGCTGACTAAAATATCACTTGTGTAGAATTACAATGCATCTCTTTGTAAGTTTGTTCACACAGTGCTATGTATTTGGATAATTTAGCGAAAATGCTTTCCTCCAACCCATTTTCACTCACTCATACTTTCCAAACTGCTTTTTATCCTCCTATCTTGCACCTCCTTTTCAATCACCCCTTTCAATTATAATCTATTAACTAAGAGGGGCATATAAGGGAATATATTTCTTTGTTAGACACCCCCATCATTAAAACTGAAAATAGCACAGGTTGAGATCCCTGGCTCTTACACACAAAAGAACATGTGCTCTATTACTGAGCTTTGCAGATCACATTTCTTTCTTTGGAGTTGGAAGGCAGCAAGAATGCAGTGATTTACTTATGCTATAAAAGGTTTGGCATATGCTCAGAGGCTCTCAAAACACTCAAACGAAAAACTCTATAGTTTTGATCCACTGATCAATCGTTGTAACTATCCACTTATTGCTGTATCTGTGGTGGATCAATGCTCTTTAAGTGAAATAAACCACTCCTTATTAATCTTTTTTAAAAAGTTATTTGAAGAGTGGGTGGAGGAGAAAGGAAAGAAGAGAGAGATGCAGATGACAAACTAAATCGAAGACTTTGTAAACGGAGTCCCCCATTCTTTGGAATAGCCATTTCCACCCTGACAGTTCCTACTCATGGACTCCCACCATTCCCAAGCAACAATCATGTTATGGGTTTTGCAAGGTTAAAAAGAGCCATTTTGAAGCAATCATTAACAAAATTCACAAGCATGTAGACAATTTCAACAGAAAGGAGGAAAACACGAAAAGGAATAAAATCTGGCTACCAGTATTACAAAACCCCCTCTAAAATCAAAGCAGTAAATAAAGAGCAACACTAAAAAAGGGAGAATTCTAGACAGGAAACAATCAGGGCCAGCTAACAATTCCCAACAAAGGAGTCCCCCAGACAGGAAGCAGTCAAGGCTTTGAAGCTGCAAGGCCATTCAATGCTAACCAAGGTGGCCAATTGTAATATTCACACTTGCCTCAAACAGACAAGAGTTCTTTCTTCCACCCTGGGAATTTCACAGATATATAAACCTCCTTTGCTTAGTTTTCAACAGAGCTCACAACTTCAGAGAATGCCTGCCATATATATGGGTGAAGCGTCAGGAGAGAATGCTTCTGGAACATGGCCACACAGCCTCAAAACAAGCAGCAACCCAAAATGTGTTCCCTTACGGTCAATTATGCATTCTTTTCTCGCTCTAAATCTAATGCTCTGATCCACACTAATGTTTTAATAAATGAATTAATCAACAGTAACTACCCAATTAAGCCGTCTCAATCATTAATATCTATGGTAGTGAATTAATTTTTGAATGTCAATTTCTAATGTTAAGCATTGCCAATTAATCTTTAAACCTAATACACCAGGCTCTGAAAACTTCATTCTGCATATTATTAATAGCAGCAAAGTGGTCAAGCTACAATAATAATAATAATAATAATAATAATAATAATGATGATGATGATGATGATGATGCATTATTTATAACCCACCCTATAGAGCAAGAAAGAAGCTTGCTCTATTGTACTGTACCCAAAATGCATTGCTTTGCTGTTCCTTTAAATAAAATGTAGTCCCCCACTAGGCAATTTTCCCAGAACTCTCTCAGCTCCAATAATTACCCTCTTTCCACAAGGAAGGTATCTCGCCAAACTTTGGTTTTCTTGTTTGTTCGAAACCTGAAATCAAAATAATAATATTTACAGTTGGGATTGGTGACCATGTTTGTCTAGGCAATGAGAGGGAAACAGTTTCATTTCCCTTCAGATCAGCGATTTGTTCACATGTTCCCACAGTTTTATAAACTTGCTCTTTAAAATAGTTTTTGAGCTGGCAGCTCCAACTTGGGTTGCCAACTCCATTGTTTTACCACATCCATTTTCAGTTGATTGATTTGCTATCAAAAGCCCTGCTCACATTCACTAACCTGTTTCCTGGTTTTTCAAGGTCTAGGAGTTTGAGAACGGATTTGCCATCCATATCTGGAGGTGTGTCAAGTCCTGCAATATCCAGAACTGTTGGAGCAAGGTCAATATTCAGCACTATTTGAGATACTCTACAAATTAACAGAAAAGGTCAGAGCTGTATTAGGCACATTAGAATCAACCTTTTACATCCTTGTGGAATTTGAAATGGCAATTAATCCTGGTGTGGTACTTTGATATACCGTTATATATTTTTTCAAGAGATAAATCTACAAATACTTCTGACTGGACTGTGCAATTATGGGTCAACATGCTAACACCATCAATATGAATCTATGTTAGGCAGAGGAGTGCAGCAGATATCCCTTTCTGACCAGGCATAGTACAAAATCTATTTTTATCTATTGTGGTAAGCCACCATGGGATATCCTTACATGACCCCCATTAACGCCATTGTTGCAAGCCACCCAAAATATGCAACCATGTACAGGCTATAATAAATGTGAATATTCTGTTATACATTTAAAGAGCTTTTAAAAACTGTATTTACAGAGGAGGTGGCTTGTTTTTAGCCAATTCTTTGCAATACTCTACATAGACAGACAAAACAAAACAGCAGCCACTAAGGATGACAATCAAATGTGCTTACAAATATTTTACATTAGGTACAACAGCTGTGGTGCAGACATAGAACGTACACTGATCCCGGCTCTATACTTGGACCACGAATAAAGAATGGAACACGAATATCAAAGTCATATGGCATTGACTTCCCCTTGACCAGTCCAAACTGCCCAATATGGTAACCGTGGTCGGCAGTATAAATAATGTAAGTATTCTCCAGTTCTCCAGTTTCCACTAGCATGTGATATAACTGAAATACAATAAACAAAAAACACTAATCAACAAGGCGGAAAGTGACATCAATTCCAGCAAATACACACATAGCAACATACGTGAGCATTAACATTTTAACTGTCTCATAAGCTGTAAAAGGACTAAATTCAAATCAAAACAAGAGTTCATTTGGGGGCAAAAAACTCCACCAGCATATCTGACTCAGCATGTTTACATACTGTAGTTTATGAGGGTTTTGTGGCTTAGATATGATAGTTTCCCAATAAAAACATCCAGTGCAGTGAATGACCATATTTGACAGCATGAGTCTGTGAATGTCTGTGAACTCTTGCCCTTTTTGTTTTGGTGGTTGTGACGCAAACAGTATTCTATAAAGATAATGGACAAACAGCTATAATTCATGAAAACATCTTCATTTTGTGTAATTATAGAACCACAAAGATATAAAGAGATGTTGTAGAATCAGACTATTAGTCTATGTATGCAGTATTATTCTATTATTCAATTCCCAACATTTGCGGAATTGAATTTTGTGGATTTGATTATTAAAATGTTCTCTTTAGGAATCTCCAGATCCTATGGCTTGTTTTCACTGGAATTGACCTTAGAGTCATGCTTGACAATCTAGAGCAGCATTTCTCAACCTGCGGGTTGAGACCCCCTGGGAGGGTCACAAGGAGGGGTATCAGAGGGTTCACCAAAGAGCATCAGAAAACACAGTATTTACTGTTGCTCATAGGGGTTCTGTGTGGGAAGTTTGGCCTAATTCTATCATTGGTGGGGTTCAAAATGCTCTTTGATTGTAGGTGAACTATAAATACGAGCAACTACAACTCCCAAATGTCAAGGTTTATTTTTTTCCAAACACCAGCAATGTTCACCTTTGGGCATATTGAGTATCTGTGCCAAATTTGGTCCAGATTCATCACTTTTTGAGTCCACAGTGCTCTCTGGATGTAGGTGAACGACAACTCCCAAACTCAAGGTCAATGCCCATCAAACCCTTCCAGTATTTTCTGCTGGTCATGGGATTTTTGTGTGCCAAGATTGGTTCAATTCCATCATTGGTGGAGTTCAGAATCTTCTTTGATTGTAGATGAACTATAAATCCCAACAACTGCAACTCCCAAATGACAAAATCCACCCCCCCCCCCCCCCCCCCCCCCCCCAGTATTCAAATTTGGGCATATTCGGTATTTATTCCACATTTGATCCAGTGAATGAAAATACATCCTCCATATCAGTTATTTACATTATAATTCATAACAGTAGCAAAATTACAGTTATGAAGTAGCAACAAAAATAATGTTATGGTTGGGGGTCACCACAACATGAGTAACTGTATTAAGGGGTCGTGGGATTAAGAAGGTTGAGAAACACTGATCTAGAGATTCCTAGAGAGGTGTTCTCTTAGATAAATAAAAACCCAGATTTTTATTTGTAGATTTTCCACTTTCAGGGGTAATGATAGAAAGATATCCCTGGGATTTTCAGTCTTATGTTTAACTCGGCTGGGAACTATGCACCTTAATTTTGTGTGTAGAATGGGCAAGAAAATGCATCAGCCATGCCTTAGTTTGTAGAACTCTGCCCATTCTTCCTTTTCCCCAGACTGTTGAAAATGAAGAAGCAAGGTGTTTTATGAAAATGTGGCATACGCAACAAAAATGCAAAGGTAGATCTATTTCAGGATCTTTTCAATGAGTACAGAGTATAAATGACAGTTTCACTACACTATGCTTTTCATCAGCACCAATCTTCTATATCAGGGCTGATGAACTTTAAACTTTGCATATGTAATTGAATTTAAGTTCCCTTAAGTTCCAGCAAGACCAGGCCAATGGTAGTACATGTAGCTCTACAACAAGTGGAAGGCCAAATATTCCTGATTACTCTTCTACTCTTAGTAGTACACTAATACTCTACTACCTCAATACTACTATTATTTCCATTTATATCCCACCTTTTCCCTGGCAAAGAGGCCTAAAGCAGCTGATAAATATCAAAACAAATACAGATTAAAATACAGGATCATGAATAAAAGTACATATACATTATTATTAAGATGCAATTAAACAATTGTACACAAGTAAAACAATTTACAATCCATTAAAATACAAATAATATATTAAATCTTGTAAGTGCTGACTACTAAATTGATGGCACATACCTATGTGTTGACTCCCCATTCAACTATTGATTGAATGAGCCTACTCTAGTTGGACTAACTAACGTGATGGAAGCAATTATATTAATGTTGCAGCTCTTTCTCGCACAAATAACTTTTCCTCTTGCAGCATAGAATGTGGAACACACCTTCCTAGAGTGCATTGAACAGTACAGTACTGTTTACAGAGTTTTTTATTCCTCACCTTTTCCATGGAATCATCAACAGATAGAAGAGTTTGGAGCCTTTTGCGTTGAAGAACATTTGTAAATTCCATGTGGATAGGAAGCATAGGGCCTGTATATTGCATGATCCAATGTTTATCCATATTTGGTGCATAGTTGTAACTGGGAGTTCTGGGAGGGAATAAAAGAATAACACTGATGTGAACTTTTTATCATCCTTTACAATAAAAAAATAGATTTGTAGTTTATACACAATATAATATACAGTTGACCTGAACTGTACTGTACACTTCGTAGAAAAGAGCCTTTGCAAATAACATGTGGCAAAATTATGAAAAGTAAGTTCATAAATCAATAACTCAAACAGGCAAAATACATAATGTGCCCACTTTCCCACTAGTCATCCTGGTGGAATAATGTTAGGTCAAATATTTAAAAAATGCCTCAGTGTAAAATCTACCCAAACTAGCACATTATCTGCTATATGCAAAAGGCTCTTCCAGGCTTGACCAAAGTTTGAAGGGGCTATTTGGAAAGTTGCCCCTGTTTGTTAATACAAGGTCCTCAGACATGACATCATTCAGTTTAAAAGGCCCAGGACTGTACAAACTTGGAAGGGCTGTGTGAGAAATAATTAAGGATCTCATCACATGAAGTTGCCCAACGTGGGCAACAGCGGGGGGATTCACCTGGCAGCAGGGCGAATCTGTCAGGCAGTGGGGAAATCAGTCACCCCACACCCCGCATTGCCCTCTCCTTTGTTCTCATTGCTTTGTTGTACGACACTTTCACCACAGTTTGGGGATGGAGCCCTGCTGGAAGTAGCTCTACGTCGTTTGATGGGATCTGTCAGGTTCCATTGCTGAACTGTGGTGAAAGTGTCATACAACGGGTCAAGTTGTCTATGTGATGAAGTCTGTAGTTACCAAAAAGTAGTTGCTATTTCAAAGTAACACAGTGCGACTGAGTAACAGCTCAAATTCGTGTAACAATTAAGAAAGCATAACAGAAACATTTTGAGAGGAATTTTTCACATTTTACGCCAGTCTCTTGTCAATCCTAAACTTTAATCCACTCTAAAAGAGGCAACACATAATCGACGCACAATAGAGAAAGCAATGTAATAAGTGACACTTGCATCAAGTAATGGCAACAGGTTCCTTTTCCAGCATAATGGAATGATCTACTTTTTAAAAATTACTTCCCAATTTCTGGGGATGGTTACTGGGACAGCATATTAATGAAAACATACTTTAAAAAAATCTGATTTCACAAATGTAGTGTGGATTCTTCTGTTAAAATTACCTCTCTCCACCCCCCGCCTCTAATTATTAATGATTTAAAAAACCCAAACTGTGTTTCCTCAGCCAATGGCCATTCTCAGAATACATCACAGACCTTCATCTGGCTTTCAGAAGGGATTCTATACACCTTGGAAAGTATGCAGAGATGCAAAAGTAATTGTTCTGGTAGAGCCCCACTGAATTTAACAGAACCGTGCCAACAAAAACTTAATTCAGGATTCTTGCCAGAATGTACGTTAATTTTAATGATAATTCTACTGTGGTTTTTCTATAGCTTTTTCTCAAATCAGTTCTTACAATTGAATGTTTGGCGGAATGCTTTTGCTTAGTTAACAACAAGCACCTGTGTAGCACATAACTAGATGTGTTTTGCACATGTTATACACACTAATAAAATACTGCAAAGAACTACATTACATCTAAATTGCCTTGCCTTGCTCAAATAATGCATAGTACTAAATGTATCTCATATTTAATGCATTATAAATTCCAATCACAGAAATGTTATGCAAAGTATTTGGCAATTTATTTATTTTTTGCCCTTCAAAATGAAGTGCATCAACACCCAGGAGACTAATTTTAGTAACATTCAACTTTCAGCTCAATATGGGAATGAATGACTCTCAAATCTCTTACCTTCAGTAAAATCTTAAAAGGATAAAACAAGTCACTTTTTGGAAAACAGTACAAAAGTAGTTTTGACATTGCAATGCTATTAGTCACATTGATACCTGATAGAAATGATAATATATGCTTTTTGATTGGAGATAAATAATTTACTCTGACAACCCAGTGAGAGATGGATAGGTTAAAAGTGTCTGATCATAATTAAAACACAGGAAATGTCTACACATTTCTCACCATTTTCCCTGTCTAAATCTCAACTTCTTGTTTTGTGAGCATGTTTGTATGCACATCAGAGAGATAACATTTTAAAAAGAACTCCCCATTCATTCTGATGGCAAATTATTATAAAACACTTATAAAATTAAAAGTTCCAAATTGCAGAGTGGTTGTAAGTCCCCATTTCGCAGAAAAAGGAAAAAAGATAACGGGGGGAAAATCCACTTTCTGCACAGGTTCTTATGTTGCCCTTTTATGAACAGATTAAATCAGTGTCAAATTGTTGAGCTCCACTGTACCAGAAGCAGGAATATCCCTAACATTAAAGATCTAAAGCCAGTCCCTTTAGAAGGTCGATCCCAGGGAAGAAGGACCATTGGTAAGATGTTAGCTGATAGAACTACCTAGTTCACATGTTGTGTTTCATGCCCATGAAGCTTTCCTAGTAATCTCAGGAATGGCTGAAGATTATTTATACTAACTAGCACTGAAGAAAATTTCAACTGTTAATCTGATAGACTTCTTTATGTTGAATAAGGAGTGTGGTCTATTTTCTTTTGTCACCAACACAAAAATGGTTTGCTGGCAGTTTAGAACTACTTTTGAATTGTTGTTTTGTGCTGCACTTCGGGGTTGTTATTGAAAAATTAGACCCTGAAATTATTGGTTTTGAGACATGGCTCCATTGGGTCATATAGAGAGTCGATGTTGCCATTATCATAATCCTTTCCCAATACATAGGAGCACGGGGGGGGGGGCACAATGGGCCTGCACAAGGACCTATGGGTCTTTTCCCCTGTTCCACTCAGTTATTATCTGATTTATTCCTGGGAGCGCTTTCTTGTTCTTGTCACCAAACTGGACTTCTCTCAAGGGCTTCCATGAATAAGACCAGGATCCTAAGCACCCCTTTATCTCTCGGGATTGACACGTATTGTAGGAAGTCCTTTGTTTCAAACTGCTGTCACAGTGTTATAAATATTTCTGTATGTTTGCACTGAGGTATGTCAGTTTTTTGGAGTGCTGTCTCCTCTGACATCCTCTCAGGCTACTGAGAATAAAGCTTCTGATTTTGCTTTCAGCCCATCTGTGCCTCAACTGGTCCTTTGGAAGCTTGGGACTCTGGGCCCCAAACCCATGATATTAGGGGAGCTGAAATCACATAAGAGAGCAATCCTATACATGACACCTCCAGAAGCCCTATCCATCAACAGCCCTGTTCAGGACTGGCAAATTCAGGGTTGTGGCTTCCTTGACCGTTTCAATGTATTTGTGATGTGGTCTTCCTTCTTTCTCTACTGACTTCCACTTTTCTAATGAGTCATAATGCCAAATGATATGACCTCACTTTGATTATTTTTTGTTTCTTTTTGGCAGTCTGCTATCTATAGAACTCTCCCTCAGCGCCACATTTCAAATGAGCTGATTTTCTTTTCAGCTTTCTTCATTGTCCTGCTTTAATAACCAGATATAGAAACATAAAATGACATGACAAAAATGATTTTGAATTTGATATTTCATGGTAAATATTTTTATAATTGAGGATCTCATCTCATTCTTTCATAGCTGCATTTCCAAGTCTAAATATTACTCCAAACTCTGTAGTTACCAAGAAAAATTCTATCCAGTTTTCCTCAAAATTAAGCCCCTTGAATGCTTTATTTTCAATTTGTGTATCATCCTCTGGAAGGAAATAATGTTTATTATCTCCATTAAATTGCGTTCAGATAAAAACACATTTTTTCTATCAGAAGATGATAAAGGCTGCGTTCTATATCTACATATGAATTTACAGATTCTGAGCTGGCGAACGTTGAGCATTAGATTGGTTTTATTGATTGTGATGTATAATTGATTATTTTAATTGTTTTATAATTGCTGTTGATATATGTTTTTATCTTATTGTTTTTGTTGGCATCGAATTGTGCCATAAAAATGTTATCTTAATATAACAATAAAGGGAAGATTTTGACTTGTATCACAATGTTGTATGGTTTGAGAGTTGCACCCTATTTATAATCAACAGACTCTCTACTTAATATGTTATATTACAGTTCTTCAACAATATCCATAACATCCCTCTGGCTATTTCCCTTCTTTGTTAGAGGTTAATGATACAGTTACATGATATCAAACATAATGTATTATTTTGTTGAAAAATTCAGATGTTCATATCCCAACATGAGGTGGAAATGGAGAGGGAAGTGATGCAAAATGATGCCTGGCCACCAAAGTAGAATTTTCAAAGGTTAAAGTTGACATTACGCTCTACCCATCACAAGAGGATTATATTAGAAGCCTCATGATTTTCATGGGATGTGCCACATGTTTTCCCAAGAGACCTGAAATTTCTTTTCATCCCATGGCTATGACAAGTGAGCAATGTCTCTTAGTAGAGAAGCCAGCCTTTTAACAGCTTCACGCGCACCGATGCCTCAAATCAGCAGCATGTTTTCAATTTGTCTCACTTCTTCCAGCTGAAACATGTGCAAACTTTCAGTAACAACCCCAAGTATTATTCCATCTCTTACAGTCACCACTGACAAACTATATCTTAACACATCAAGAATGTAATGAAAAGTAGACCGGAAGAGAGATCCCTGGCTTTCCAGTCTTTTTCAACAATCAGTTAAACGTAAGTTTCTTTACCTTAGAAACGTCTTATTTGTCTCAATGCCACAACATTTCTCAAGAGATTTCATCTGTCCTTTTGAAGTCTTTGCTTTGTCTTAGTCACATTCTCCATTCTGTCACATTTTCAGTACCATGGCTAATATTATGTACATAATAGGTTTTAGGTGAAAAATGACTTGTATTATCCTACTATATGAAAATTGCCTTTTAACCATGGCTTCAAATTCTTGTTTCACTGTCCTACATATGCTACAGAATGAAACGGCAGGTAAAAAAAAATCTGAGAAGGTAAATTGGACTATACCAATTTAAATTAGAGGACTGGAAGCCACATTGTAGTCTCGACTACATATTGCAGCTTTTGTACAGATAATATTAATTTGACAAGTGAAAAAAATCAAGCAAATAAAAAGGAGCATATACTTGAAGAAACTAGGGAAAACACATGGGTAAAAGTCCTTGAGCTTGAGGAGGATTTGTGGTCTTTTGGAGACTAGACAAGCCATTTTACATGCACACACGTGCCTGAGAGGAACACAAAGATAACATATCATCATCATCATCATCATCATCATCATCATCATCATCATCATCATCTTTATTTATACCCCGCCAGCATCTCCCCACAGGGACTCGGAGCGGCTAACATGAAGCCAAGCCCAACAATTAAAATAAAACAAAATAAAATACATATAGCACGTACTAACTCAAATAAATACAAACAATAAGAAATAATACAATAGGGTAAACACAGGGTATGAAAAAACATTAAAAAACATTAAAAACAAAGAGTTGAGCACAACGGGCTGGGCCAAATGAAGGGATAAAATCATGCAACCCTGGGTGAGATAGTTAAATGGAGTAGTATATCTGGTGAGAGATTCTGATGGGACAAACGATGGGGTTTAATATTTCACTAGGGGATGAGGTAAAGTTCATCAAAAGGGCAAATTTGTACTGGGACGGTCATAGTATGGGGATTTGTTGTTCATTCCTCAAGAGCATGCCGGAACAGCCAGGTTTTCAGGCTCTTCCTAAAGACTGACAAAGTGGGTGCTTGCCTAATCTCCCCGGGTAGCAAGTTCCAGAGTTGGGGGCCACCACTGAGAAGGTCCTCTCCCTCATCCCCACAAGTCGCACTTGCAATGGGCGTGGGAGCAAGAGGGGGGCCTCCCCAGAAGATCAAAGAGATGGTGCAGGTTCGTAGATGGAAATGCTATCACGAACATAGGTTTGAAGAACTCCCCTACTAGAAAAGCATCTAATGCTATTTAGCTTAGAAAAGGGGACATGGGGGTGGAATAATTAAGATGTACAGTATGTCAATTATGCAGAGTAAGCAGTTAAAGTTTTTCTTCCTCTTATGATCCAGAAACTTCAGGTCATCTACTCATACTTCTTGGCAAGTTCAGAAACTTTGGAATAGACTACTGCAAGATGTAGTGATGACCACAAATTCATGGAAAATATGGCTATTAGTGGTTGTAATTTTGCCTAATCTCTCCAGTCTTTGAAGCTTTCTGAGAAAAATACAGGCAAAAAGGCGTAGACACACTTGTTCCTTATTTGTAGGATTTCCATAGGCCAAGAATAACAATTGTGAGGCATATGGGCTACAGGTGCCCTTTGAGGGAACACTACACTCTACTCCCAAATTTTGGGAAGCTTCTCCCCAAAACTGCAGACACTTTTAAAGAGTCCTTCTGAAAATTAAAAGGAGAGATATAACATCACTTTTGGTTGTACCAAATGGCAGCTGCAGTGGCACAGATGGCATTCTGTTGAAGCTGGGACTCTGTGAAAATGACCCTCTGAGCCACAGAGCACTCCCATCCCTTGCATAGATAATTGGGAGGGGGGGGGTTACTGTGTGAACAGGATGCTCGTCTAGGTGATTTGTCTGTCTTCTTATGTTCTCAAGAGTAGGGTCATCAAGGATAAAATAAAAGTCGTAAACTGAATCTCAAAGTAAGTACAGACAACTGCAGTTGATGGTGGTAGGTGAAAACAGAGCCAAAGCCGACTAATAGGCACCATTTCTGAAAAAGAATGTCATGGGTTATTATTCCAAAGCACAGCATTCAATTTAGGGAAGTATAAGTTTCAATGCCAACTTCTACCCTTCGGTGACTTAGGCTGCAGTGAAAATCAGCAGCATAGATTTAAAGAAAATTTCGACTTACATGTGCTGAGAAGCATTTGGATAGAGTTTAGAGAACTGCGGTGCAGAGTCTTCAGGACCATGTGGGGCAGCATGACTGATCACCATCATTATAGGTCTATGGGGATATATCCTCTTAGACATTTTGAAATAATTTATGCTATCATTCGTTATTAAGTCTGTGAAATAGTCCTGAAACACAAAAACAAAATTTGTCAAGTGCATCAAATATCACTAGACTACATTGCTTTATTCTGCTATAATGAATTAGAAATAAATATGGCTTTTAAAACTCAAGATCTGGCTTCAGTGGCTGAATGAAAGAGGAAGGAACAAACCCAGACGAAGTCATTAATTCTGTTACAAAATCGACCCAGCACTCATATGAACAGCTGTTTTCCAGGATCCATTAACAAAAAAGATAAAGCAGATGAAAGGAAAAGAAAAATTAAAAGTTGAGTAATTCAACATAGGAAGAAAGAATGTGAAAGTACATTCATATCAACTTTATTTAGTAGGCCATGAGCATATCTATTCAGATATAAGTCAGAGAAGAGAGAAAATGGTTTATTAGAGTAACTTAAAAGATGTGGAGGAAACTGAGTGCATTTCTTTTGGTTCAAGCACATGTATTTTACTGGCCAACATACATTTTGATGCCTCAGATGTTAGACCCATTTCTGGGTATATTTCACCAACTGATTCCAAAAATAGTTTTTCCTCGAGCAGCTCTAGCTTTTGAGATACAGATGCCACTATCAGTCAGCATCTGCCTGCCTAAAGAAAACCATGATAACTATCTCTAAGAAACTAGAGCTGATGCAATTTTCTGAATCAGTGCCCCAAATAACCCCAGAAACAGGCCTAAAAACCAAGACACCAAGAATGTGTTATTGTTGAGTTGTGTTATGTACCAGAAAAAAAGCATCAAAAGATAA